AATATGAAATGATCGGAACATTTGTGTTTCTTGCACCTCTTCTTCAGATATCATTTAGTTTGTCTCATTATCATTGTCTTTTGTGCATTATTTCAAGCTTAATTGTTCAAATGACATTAACTTAAATCACTTTTACTTACTTTACTTGAGTAGTATTTTTCCCAAACACTTTTTTCCTCTTACTCTGTGGTGGAAAACATTGAAGCTTCATTAGATCTGAAAATCTGCTCAAAATATTTTTACTTTTTGCTCTTTTAACTGGTACTTACTTTTAATTTTAGTTTTACTTGAGCATTTTTTACCCAAGTAAGTGATTTAAGTGACAAAACTGAATACTTCTTCCACTGCTGCTCTTACTTGAGTAATTTCTTATACCACTACTTTTCACTTTTACTTGAGTAATATTATTTTGAATTGTACTCTTAACTGAGTACAGTTTTGGGCTACTCCACCCACCTGCTCTTGCTAAGTATTTAAAGTTGCTGCTTTGATCTCAGTGGTATTTAAAGTACTACCCATGAAACCACATGTAATTGCAATTGATGGCACTTAAGTTTTTATATTTGATCACTTGGAAATACAAAAGAAATGAATTGGGAGTGACCAGAAAATAATTATATGTATTAACTGCTCTAAGTGAGTTCTCATTGAGTCACATCACATAAAAATGCTCCACAGTATAGAATTAAACCTTTCTATCTTCATGGAGACCAAACCAGACGAAGTTACAGGTCAGATCTGTGGAGAGACGATCCAGCTCACAGTCAGAATGCCTGTTTCTTGTAGGTATTTTTGAGCTGTAAAACCACCTGTAATTGAATAAATATAAGGTAGAACTGTTTAATGTCATACTGTGGAACTTTCCAAGTGGAGTAATGACATTCCCATAGAAAAAAGAACACCAAATACCTCAAATTTGTACTTACAATATTGTACTTTTACTTTTGTACTTTGTTATCTTCCACCGCTACTTTGTACTTCCTTCTTCTGTTGGAGCTGTGGACAGACTTTATCGATTAAACGTGTGTCTTCGCTCGGGGAGAAGACGAGGATTATGTGGCCGTGGTGTTGACACGTCTACAACCCCAATACGGCGTCGTGCCAAGGAGAGCATGTTCCAGGGTCAGTGGAGAGGCAGAGGGGGGATTGCGGGTAATTGTGTGACAGAGAGAGGGGGGTGGGGGGGGGGGGGTGAACGGGCCAACTGGCAGCCCTGGATCTTCTGAGGTCCGCGGGGCATTGGCGCTGGTCCCCTCGGCGCTGACAGCTGGGGCCCAAACGCCAAGCAGAACAGAGACAAACAGACAGAAACATGGCACCAAGTGGAGAGCTGCTGAGGGCATGACAAGAGACAGCAGACAGGGCCAGGGGGGCAGGTCAGCCACGAGAGTTATGGTTTTTTGAGAACTCATAGAGCATCCGTGAGTTCATTCTCATGTACTTTGAGCAACTAAATTTAAATTACTTTTTTTAACTTTATTTTTCGGAGTATAAATCGCACCAGCCAAAAAATGAGCAATGAAGAAGAAAAAACATATATAAGTCACACTTTTTGGAGAAATGTATTTTGTAAAATCAGAGACCAGGAACCGACATTTCATCTTTAAAGGCAAGATCAACAATAATAAAACAGAGAACAACAGACTGAATAGGCGTTAATATGTTAACGTAACATATTAACAGTTATTCAGATAATTATTGCATAAACAACAGAACATAAGTTTACCAAACTCACCATCTCACTCCAAATCACTAAATCCATTGAATTTTCCATCCTCGGTGTCACTTCTGTGTGACCTCCGGAGATAAACCGTAGATCCATGATGTAAACAGAGCACCGCTTCCTCTTCTGTGTAGCTGTCGTCAGACTCAGCATCAGTTCCAGTTAGAATTATTCCGGCCTTTCTGTATCCCGACAGGATGGTTTCGGTTGTCACTGAAGTTCAGGCTTTGTCGATTCATGCAGTGACTTCCAGGAATGTTACATGGCGCACCCGCCCGGTGACCGTGAAGCTGTGTTCGCCATTCCCACTTTCCGCCAGTCAATCACCAGTTTCTCTCTCACTCCAAACTTTCTTTCTGCTGCTTGATTACCGTTTTCGACTGAATATTTCACTATTTGCAGCAGGACAGCGGCTTTTTCTACAGGAGACATGTGCAGTAGAGTGCAAAGTGACAGTGGTACAGGAGTAATAGTAATACTAGATACTGACACACAAGTCCAGAGCGCCCTCCCGCGACTGTCAGTCTGAAAATTTAATACACTTTTATATTATATATTATATTATTATTATATTTTATAGTCTGAAAAATACAGTATATCACAACAATCTGACTAAAGTGAGTTTTAATCCATGTTATAGTGATCTCCTCAGAAACAAGTTGTGTTTTCCTACATTCCCATGTGTTTGTGACCATAACAGCTTGGTCAGATCTAAAGTTAAAGGCCAGGCTTGGTTAGTACTTGGATGAGAGATCACTGGGAATTCCAGGTACCACAGTGGGGCGCAAGTAGCCAAGCGGGGGCCACCTAGTGCCTCCGTTCAATTTCATTTCTCCCCAGCGACCAGGTCAGGATTCGGAATACACTAAGACCGTCTGCAAAAACCACGAGAGTGTGAGTCCGGGCACCAACCAATCAGCAAAGAGCCAGACATTCTGTGTTGGCAACGATTTCTGAGATCAAGGATTTAACCAGGTCTAAACCAGGTCTAAACCAGGTCTAAACCAGGTCTAAACCAGGTCTAAACCAGGTCTAAACCTGGACCTCCTTAGGAAGTCCGTGTAGAGTACAGAATTTTCAATGAGGTAATACAACTGTTGGGCAAGTTACTTCAAAACTGTAAAGTGTTATTTATGACTTGTTACTGTCATTTCAAAGTAATTTGTTACATTACAATATTACTCCATTTAAAATGTAAAACATTACATGACTACTGCAGCACTTTTAAGTTACTCGCACCAAAATAACTGTGCCAAGATGCCAAACTTTTGCACAATATATGAACTGAACCAGGACTGAACCAAGACTGAACCAGGACTAAACCAGAGATGAACCAGGACTAAACCAGGACTGAACCGAGGAATGAACTAGGACTAAACCAGGACTGAACCGAGGACTGAACTAGGACTAAACCAGGACTGAACCGAGGAATGAACTAGGACTAAACCAGATATGAATGAGGTATAAACCAGGACTAAACCAATGCTGATCCAGAACTGAACCAGAGATGAACCAGGAGTAAACCAGAACTGAACCAGGTCTAAACCAGGATCAAACCAGCGGGTGCACCTCCGGCGTTTCACCGCTGCTGACATCGCGGTGATTTTGTATGAAGAAAAACGAAAAAGCCACCACTCATGAAGCGTTTGTCCTTTGCTTGTCTCCATGGAAATGCTATTGCTTTGCCTAAAATGTCCTGCAGTGTGGCATTAAACTTATTTACATCCATAGACAAAAGCAGGTGCATTTTCTAGGCTATATAACAGGTCAGATCTGTGGAGAGGAGGCCCAGCTCACAGTAATAAAGCATTTTATTTTATTTTTTGTCTTTTTCCAAGTTTATTGCCGTACTTTGTAACATTCCAGATGAAACAATAATATCTCTATTGTCTATTCCATCAGGGAGGCTCGAAACCAGGACAGAGCTTTTGGAAAGGGGCCCAGAGCGAAACACTGGGGGTCAGGAAGTGTCATGAGATCCAGTGGAGGTTAATGGGACCAAACAGGAGCTGGTGGAGACATTTTTCTTCCCTGCTCACGGCTCATTTATCCAAACACTTTGTAATGCCTGGCTACCTGCAATAAGATAAACAGCCCAGTACAGTTTAACTCTCATGTCATAACATTTAGTGCGAGTGAAGGGGCCAGTGTATATAATAATGTGTGTTATTTATTGCGGCTTTCAAACACTCAAAACTGCAGTCGGAAATTCAGCGCTTAGACAAAAATAGTTGAAACTTTTGCAGGTGGTGAAGGCCATTCAGGAGGCAAATATGTGAAGGGAATATGTGAGTCTTATTCAGTGTTTAGAAAGTTCAGTAAAATTCTTATGGGTTTGTGTGTGTACATCTTTTAACATGGGTTTTCCACATGTTTAATCTGTGTGTTTACCTCTTTCCAAACTATACACAAATAAATGAGACTAGGCTTACAAAGTGTGCCAATAAAAAGGCCTATTTCTGACAAATGTGGTTTAGGATCAAGTGCATGAGTAACTCTTTTGGATTTGAATTGAATTTGCCAGAAAATAGACAAAAATCGAAACATTTTTTCCATTATGGTTGCGTTTATTTAGCCAGGCTGGGGCCACCTAGTGCAATCTGTGTATCATTCGTTCATTTGTTTTTCAATATAAAGCCAAAAATAAGAAAAAAACAACAGTTTTCTTCATTATTTGTCTCCAAAACCAAAATAAAAAAACGGATAACGGTTTGTTTTTTCAGTTTTCGATTTTGTGTTTAAATGAAGAATGGAATAAACGGATAACGGCCGTTTCCCGTTTACGTGACTTCCGTGACTGTGATGTCGGACTGAACCAGGACTGATCGAGGTCCAGGACCAGACCGGGACTGAGACCAAGACCAGGCCAGGACCAGAGCGGGACCAGACTGGAGGTTCAGAGTCCACGGCAGGGCCAGTGCTCGAAGCTGAGGCTCAGACCCTGCAGAGGCTCGGAGTCAAAGCTCGGAGTCCGGTCTGGTTTCGGTCTGGTCCCGGTCTGGTCCCGGTCTGGTTCTAGTCTGGTCCCAGACTTGGATCAGTCCTGGTTCAGTCTGACATCACAGTCACGGAATTCAAGTAAACGGGAAACGGCCGTTATCAGTTTTTTCCATTCTTCATTTAAACAGAAAATCGAAAACTGAAAAAAAAAAAAAAAATCATTATCAGTTTTTTAATTTGGTTTTGGAGATAAATAATGAAGAAAAAAGTTGTTTTTTCATTTTCTTATTTTTGGTTTTATTTTGAAAAGCTAATGAACGAATGATACACAGATTTAGTGCCTCCACTCAATTTAATTTCTCTGCAGTGACTAGGTCACAAATACACTAGACGGTTTGCAAGAACCCTGGAAGTTGTAGACTGCTCATCGGCCAATCAGCGAAGATCTGTGAAGCCATGACGTCAAACTCAAGCGCCTGTCTGGATTCCTTTTGTGGTACAGCACAACAGTAAACAAAGTGGTCGAGATGGATGTAGACGAGACCAGACATTCTGTGTTGACAACGATTCCCAAGATCGAGGATTTAAAGCTGGAACAAAGAGAATGGTGAATTTTATCAAGACGTTATTGCCTGTCTTCCTACAGGATTTAGCACATTATATACATCACGACCAAATAGCAGTGATTGGTTAAATAAAAAAGCACCTGCCTACCGTTGAGTGAACAAATCCTAATGCTGTGAGGTCAGATGTTTTCCACGAGGTGAAATTGGCTGATGAATCAGGCTAGATACAACCAACGAGACAAGCAAAGCACTGCCTGAGCGAGATAAACCTGGTAATTAAACATGTTACAATATTAAACAGATATATTGCACTGAAAAGCAAAAGCATGCATCCTTACTCTGAGCGGGCTGTTTCTTCAGCTTTAATATTCTACACACTGTGGCATAAAAACCGACACAGAGAAGGTTCCAAAGAATTTTTTTATTTTTTTTACTTTCTATTTCTTTGGAACCATGCAGCTGACTTTCTACCCACAGAAAGTTACATACTATCACTTTCAGTTGGTGCCATTTTGCATTTTGTTGCATTTTTATATATTATGTATTATTATATGTATGTATTTATTTTGTTTATTTATGTAAAATTGTTATAATACTTTTAACTTCAGATAAAAGACATCTTTAGTAGCACGTGTAAACTGAGAGATAATATAAAAATGTGACCTTATATGATTTTATGAGTATATGTAATGGCTTTAAAGCAGAACCTCGTGGGCTTTCAGTGGAAAAGCTGTTCTCTAACTTGCACATTAATAATTACCAAACAGAGGGGAAATCCAGAAGTGACAGTGGTTAACAACTAACTAACCGTTCACTGGAAATACCTGACATGTTCTGTGCAACTTCAGAGCATTACAGGAACTAAACCACCACAAAGCACCAGCCCAGTGTGCTCCAGCGTCTGTGTGGCAGATGCAGACAGCTGAGAGCCACTCAATATTCATCTGTAGTGAATATGGAATGAAAACAGGCAGGGCAAAAGGTTAGACCAACATCAGAGGCCTCCATCCCATAATAATAACGCTTTCTCTCCCTTAGAGCTGCTCAGGCATTCAAAGAGGCATCCATTTTTCACACTCGCTCACTCCCTCCTGAGCTGTGGCAACACCAGAGCAAATGTGACAGTGCAACTTTAAAGAAGCATTAAGGAGGAAAAAGGACAACAAGGATACAACAGTGGAGCAGTACGCCGGTCTGGTGTGTATAAATATTTGTAGTAAGTGCTAAGATAAGTGGTTACTTAGGTTTACTCAAGCATATTTTCCCATGGCCTATCTTTAGGAAATACCAGATTATTTAATGTTTAGTACATTAACCTAAACCAGGGGTGTCCAAACTTTTTTCATCAAGGGCCACATATCTAAACACAGACAAAACAGAGGGTCGATCGAGAGCCATAGACGGGTGCTCAATACAGTTAATAATTGAAATATGTGCATGATTAACACGTTAGAATGAGCCATCGTCTTTATTCATGCTAAGATCCTTAAAACCACACACTAAATATTCAACATTGGCTTTATCAAGGTAGATTTTCAAAAAACTTGCAGTAAAAAAATATTTTTTTAATTGATGCAAGGTAATTTGGGCCAAATCACCTGGAAGTCTGAGGGCCAAGAAAAATGTGTCTGACCTAAACCTAAATCACATTTTACTTTCAGCCAGTTACTCATTTTTGAACTTATCTGAGTAGTAATTTTCTATCTTATCCACCTCGACATAAAAACAAGCATATAAAATAATAATAAACATAATAATAATGTTTATTTTGGTTGAATACGTTTCGCTGCTCATCCAAACTGCTTCTTCAGTTCTGGTCAGGGAGGAGCTAACTACACTGAAACTACTCTGAAACTAACACACCTACTTATTTACAGTTTCTGTTAGTTATCCAGGCCTATTGAACTGTACTGAGTGTGGAGTCTAATTAGCAGAACCATTCAGAGCCATAAAGGGAGATTTCACACCTTTGGACCTTATCTGGCTACGGCTATTGTTCTCTTGTTTGTATTGATTTAGGTTTGAGGATGGAGTTGTAAATAGGAGATAGATGGTGTCTGAGGCCTCCATTTCTGTTAAAAATGTTGTTGTTTAGTTCTAATTATGTGAGAGCCTGTATTTCGTGTTTTATTTAAATTAGATAAAGCTTAAGTATAGAAAGTTAGGTACAGTATTTTCCGGGCTATTAGACGCGCTCTTAAGCCTTTAACCCCATCCAAAAACGACAGCGCGCCCCGCAAGCCAGAGCGCCCTATACACGAATCCACTCGGGTGTCCCAGCACGACTTCAGTAAACTACAAAGCCGCACCACCCACAGCGCACGCAAACACACACGGAGCAGACAGCGACCGTGCAGCGAAAAACACCCGCAGACACACTCATCACTCCACGCGGACGAGGAACGGAACGGAAGAACGAACCGAAAAAGCAAGTCCAATGTGCCACTCTGAGCCACAACTGAACAACTGAGTCACTGCGAACACGCCGACAATCCGTTGGTCCCAGACAGCACCCTCCCTACACGCCACAATTGAACAAAGCCGAGAGTCACAGTAAACACGACAAACAAAGTCCGACTGACCCATCCAACTGTTGCGTTTCCTATACAGTCCCGGTGTGGTTTATTTGTTAAAAAAGTTTGAAAATAGACCATTTAATGACAGTGCGCCTTATAATCCAGAGCGCCTAATAGCTCGGTAAAATACGGTAGTTAATACGTGCCCTGTAGAAGCATAGTTTACTCTATTGTTCATGTATTCAGTCAAACAGCAAAAAAAAAAAAAAAAAAAAGAAGAGAAGTCATAGATATTGTCCAGAGTTTTTGTGAGTAGGGACCACTATTAAGGAGGAAAGAGCAACAAGGATCCAACAGTTGAGAAGTAGGCCGGTCTGGTGTTTATACATATTTGCACTAAGTACTAATATAAATGGTTAGTACTTAGTTATGTTTACTCAAGCATATTTTCTCATGGTCTGTCATTTGGAAAAAATCTGATTTTTAAATGTTGATTACATGAAAGCTCAAATGAGATTTTACATCCAGGCAGTTAGTCACGCGATTGAGTAGGCTGGTGGTTTCCTGTTCTATCCACCTCTGTGAATAAAATGACTAATGCGGACAACTGTAACAGGGGTGTTTTTTTTTTTTTAATGTTCTATCTGGTGTATTTAATATCAGTTAAGGTCCTTACTGCATTTAGAATCTTCTGGTACCTGGTAGTGCAGGTGAGGGGAGTAACTGCTGTGGCTCCATTGTGTTACATTGTACTGTATTGTATTTAAAGTGCATATGGTGACATTATAACAGGGACAGACGTTGATGTCCAGTCTATAGGTGAGTTTCAGCTGACGTCATTGTTATTAAAAGCCTGCGTTGCCTGATGGGAAATATTGTGGCCTGAGGCAGAAAAACATGATGATGAATAAACAAAGAGCATAACTTTGCGTTCTTATCTCGTGTATTTATCTGCAATAATGCTCAATTCCTGCTGCATTATCAGATGCACAAATAGCAATATTGAGGTCTTTTTCGTATTCCAAGTGAAAAAAATGCCTTCGTCGAATTAAATGGCTTTCAACATCCGCAGAGCGAATCTTGACGATCCGAGCAAACCGTGGATTCCAACAAGTTCATATATCCGTGTATGTTGGGCCCATTTCTTGACATGTCTGTGCATTTCATTAAAATTAATTATTTAAATGTGTATTTCAATAAATCTGAAGGCTAAATTTGTCATCTTTTTGACACAGGAGCCGCATTGTGATCCGAATCATCTGGACTACACACCACAACTGAATTTGAGATACAAATACCAGAAAAGCAAGGACCAGCTCAAACAATCCCTGAGTTGCTTCGAGAGACAAAGCAAACGATTCTGTAGTGATGAGCCAACAGTTTCTGATAAATGTCAGGATGAAACTTCCACTTGTGCTTCTTCACATCCTAACTTAGAATCCACGATTCCTCACAAAGACTCTGTTAGAGAGCCACAGACCACCTCGAACGATTCAGAACAACTAAACACCACTCGTATTACTGCAGCTAAAGAACCAACTGAAAAAGCCTGTCTTGTTGTTTTAGATCTTTATATAAAAGGCATCAAATCCTCAAGAGTGATCTTGTCTATACAGCCAGGGTCAGAGTCGCGGGATTACACGAACAAGCGTATTAAAACATAATAATCTGGTATTGTAAAGTAAGGTATAGCCTTGATCAAGTGTTCAGTTTGTTTATTTATAACGATCTGTGTGACTGGGCATATTTCATGTTTCATATAGGCCACTGAATCAGTCTTGTCAGACTGTCAGATGTGTATTCAAGTCTTGTCTCAGACTTGAGGTCTAACACTTGACAAGTATCATATTTTATTACGACTGGTAAATGTGCAGAAGTTGCTAAATATCATTACAATGATAATGTAACTGTAAATGTAAGGAACTTGAAAAAAACAAAGAATTGATTCACTTTGAAGCCGTTTTCTGTAACATGCCAGTGGAATTGGGATTAAAGAAGGGGTTCTCAAACTGTGGGTCAGATCCCAAAAAAGGGGCACAGAATGTTTAAGTGCAGTAGAGTTTGCTTGTCTTATTTTATGCCTAAATGAACATTTATTAGATCAAACGGAGAAAGATTCATAAAAATGTTGACATATATGTGCCAAAATAACTGGAAAATACAAATAAATGTTGGAAATTACAAAGATGGTCTTGATTTGGTCTTGATGGGACCTTCATAAGTCTTGGTCTTGTCTCAGTCTCGCCCTTTAAAAGTCTTGTCTCAGTCTTGGTCTTTAAAAGTCTTGATCTTGTCTCAACCTCAGTCTTTAAAAGTCATGATCTTGTCTCAGTCTCGGTCTTTAAAAGTCTCGGTCTTGTCTCGGTCTTGATTCTCAGTGGTCTTGGTCTTGTCCTGATCTCAGCACCCTGTGGTTTCAAACTGGTCTCGGTCTCGATTAGTGCAGTCTTGACGACAAAACTACTGCAACAAGACATATTTGTTTAATGCCGTTCTGTGGAACATCCCAAGAAACACCAGAAAAGTTACACAGTCAAACTTCAAAGTATTAATTTCCAACATACTTTTAATCTCCGTATTGGACACTGCTGTAAGTAAGAAACCTACACCAACAACTCTATCCCTCCTCCTCCTCACTCACCCCACACAGCGCCCCCTGGTGGGACTCCAGACCTGGCCTATCACACCTCCTCTGCCTCTCTTATCTAAGAAGCACTCAGACAACACACTTTGTTAGCGCTCACGTTGATTAATTACAGATACACCGAGCTGCTCCAATTTCCCCATGTAGGTCAGACTGTACGTGAAGCATTAGGAGACGAAAAACGTGTGTGCCCAAACATACCAAAAAAAAAA